CCTGCTGGGATTTACAAAGACCCTAAGCGAATTTAAAGAGCCGGTCTTTACATCCCTGCCTGTCAGGAAGTGCAGAAGACACTTTAAAATAAGCCCAGTCCTTACCACAGTGCCTGGCTCAACCAATTGTGGCCTTTATTGTTTTTTGGGTAAGTCCCAGTTTAACCAGTCGGAAAGCTAGTTCACCTAACCTGCCCATCCAGTCTCCTCTGTATGGCCACTGTCTTTGAGACACGCCCCTTCAGTTGACATGTCCATCATGACTATCAGTAGCCCGAATGTTCTAGAATTATGTTTCCAATTCCTTGGAGACCTTGGTTGACTCATAAGATTTTTTTAAAACCCTCTTTTGAAATAAAAACTAATAACTCTTAGAATGTGCAGTGATGTGGAATCTTGGTCAGAGAGAAGCCCTGGTCTAGACACACAATGAACAGGGGACCAAACTGTTTCCCCCGGGAGGTAGGGGTTGACAGGGAAAAAGGAGCCAGCTGTGTGTCCCCCAGCCCAGATGTGAGACCTGACAGCCGCCTCCGAGAATGGGGACACTGCATCGGAAGGTTTCAAGACTCACACAGCCGAGCACGGGCACTAGTATCCCAGGAGCATCACGGAGGACCTGGCGCCACCAGGCAAGGTGGCTGCCCCAGGCCTTCTGCCCACATGGCAGAGGTGTGAGATTTGCCTGTGAGGAGCAGTCTCTGATGCTGCTCTGCAGAGCATGAGGGCCCCTACAAAGCTTGGGGGCTCGGCCCTGAGCCATGGGAACCCCCAAGTGTTCCCCGCTTTCCTAGGTAGCTGATCCACCTCTAAATAATGTGCTAACTTAGGGCGCTGCCCCAGCTGGGTTCTGTGCCCCCCGACTCCTTCCTGGATTGGATAAAGAGTTGGGGAACACTAGTTGAAAGGCTGGCCCTGATTGCTGGGGGCACCCAGCTGAGAGAATTCAGAAAACACTGGCAACAGAGTCAGAATCCCAAAGGCCACCAGCAGATCAGTGCAAATAAAAAGAAGTGAGATGCCACTTTTCTTTGCCTCTCAGGTTAGTAAAGCTGAAGAAGATAAGACACACTGTTGGTCGGAGGATGGACAAACGGCCGTTGTGTGCATCCTGGGCAGGAATGTAAGTTCCCAGAGCTTTTGCAAGAGCAATGTGCTTGCACCAGCAGTTTAAAGAAGGAAGTCCTTCGACTCAGCATTTTCTCTTAAAGAAATTGAATTCGTTATTGGTATACTCACACACAAGAAAAGATAAATATACAGGGATTGTAAAAATGGAGGTCGTGGTGACAATGGAATTCTCAAAATGACATTTCGCAAGGTAACGGCGAAACAAATTATGACACCCCCTCTGGTGGATTGCTTTTCCCCAAGTCAAAGTCGAATTAGAGTTGGCGCATGGCACATAGAGACGCCCCAAACGCACGGTGGGTGACAGACGGGCGCGGAGAGCGGAGGGAGCGGAGAGGCGGGCTCTGCCGCTCACCCGGAGGTCAAGCCGTGCGGTGGGTGTGTGTCCAGCCTCACTGCGTCTGTGAGTCTGTCACTGTCTTTCCACCCAGGCTCTGCATCCCAGCCCTCTCACCTCCTCGGGGATCCCTCTCTCTTCCGTCTGTGCCTAAACACAGACCCACCTTTCGCCGTAAAGCAGCCCGTCGCCGTGGAGAGCTTCACTGTCAGGTAGCAGTACGCAAGGACTCCTGTGTGGCTCTTCAGCAGAATCGACGGATGGAGACAGCAGAACAGAAAGTCCGGAAGCCAACACCGATGTTTGGAACTACGTAGACTATAATAAAGGTGGCGGTTCCCGTGGAGGGAAGGGCGAATTGTTCAATATGTTTACCAGTGAATGGCACTGGATGCTTGACTAGATTGACCCTGTGACATAAACCACAATTAATTCCTAGTGAATCAAATAATTGATTGTAGAAAATATATTTGCAGGAAATATGTAAATATTTAGCCTGGGGTAAGGAATTCTTTTCTAAGTATAATGTCATTGTAACACCCACTAAGAGAAATGCCCCTGGTTGGAACGACATCCCAATCTTACAACACGCATGTGAAAACCTGTGTAAACAGAGCTGACCTTGACCAAATGACCCAACTTAACCTCACTCATCACGGGGGGGTGTGGGCATTGTGTGCTCCCCCCAGTGCGATCGCCAGCGTGGCCCTCCTGCCGAATACTGACCGGCATCCAATGAGGAAGAGTTAGACGGATCCCACCTGAGGAGGGGCCTGTGCAGCAGGTGGGGACTGCTCGAATGGGTCACAGAAAGTGGCAAAGTCTGGGGACTGCCCGACCAAAGGAGTGCTGAGGGTCACTTTAGAGGACAGAGACAACGTCTCTGAAGCAAGAGCCGTGTCAGTGCAGACCGTGGCCAGAGCTCAGATCGGACGCCCTGCGTGCCGGGCTGTCTCTAACTGGCCGCACTGCCGCGAGGCCCAGCGGCCACCCCGAGGAGACCGAGGCCCTGCACGTTCCCCCCAGGACTGTGGGGGTGGGGGCAAGGGGACTTGAGATCTTCTGCGATGTAGTTTGCGTTACCGCAGCTTCGGCCGAGGGAGGGGTTCCCTGAGTCAGGCAGGAGGCAGAGAAGATCAGGTTTAGACCCCACGTTCCATGCGTGTGCGCAGTTGTCCACTGGAGCCGCGCAGGGGCACGCAGGGTCCACCGAGGCGGGAACGGACTGCTCTCTGGGCGGGTCATTTCTGTGGGGAACCTTTGCATTCTTGGCAGGCACCAGGTGAGCCAAGTCCCCTGGGGTGCACGCTCCGGGAGGCTCATCCGACTGCAAGGCGCTGGTGACTCCAGTCACGATGCGGGGGCCCCCTTCTTTGCAGCGCCCCCACCGGTGCTGCCCCTGGGATGTACGTGCTTCCCTAGCCCTCCTGGGCTGTCTCCTCCACAGGCGCTCAGGCGGGGTGAGCCCCGCCCCGAGGTCTCCGTCCCAAGCCTGCCTTCTGAGGGCCAGAGTCACAGACGCACTCACCTCGAATGCCTGCCCCGCCAAAGCTGTGTCCCTTCTCCAGGCGTCCTGGCCCCAGAGAATGCGTCCACCATCCAGCCGCTCAGAGGGACCAAATGTTTGAGTAGCGGGGTCTACATTCCTGCCTGCTACCCCCACCCACGTCCCCTGGATTCCAGGTCTTGGTCAATTCCATCTCCTGTGCCTCTCTGCCCCGGGCCCTCACCTGAGCTCACGGCATGTCTCTCCAGTCTGGATGGTTCTGAAGTTCCACCACCTTCCTACCTCCAGCGTCACGGGTTCCAAAGCACTGTCCACAGCATTGCTGGTCGGGACACTCCTGGGTCCAAAACCCTGCAATGACCTCAAGGCGGCCTCGGGATCAGCAGAAAGCCTTCAGCCCGGTGCACAAGGCTCCGCACGCCCCGCCTCCTGCCTGTCCCTCCCCCTCGTTCCCTGATCTCTCTGTTCCTCTGGTCTCCATGCTCCATGCGTCGTGACCTTGCTTCTACTCTGCCCTAGTCCTTCTTAGTTCCTCAGGTTTGCCTTGGACTTGGGCTCCCTCGGACCCCCACCCACCACGAGGTTCAGGGCAAAGCAGCTCACTGGCGGCAGAGCCTGTGCCTGACTCACTGTGTGTGCTTAGTGCCCAGCTTGTCCCGTGTGTTTCCTGAGTGTGCGAGGTCCCTGCTCCACAGGCCGGCCCTTCCCAGGAGCTGCACTGAGCCCGAGTCCTGGAGCCCCGAGGCTCGCGCTCTTTCTGCCTCCTCTGAAGTGGGGTCTGAACCCCACTGTGTTCAGAGTTGAACCTCATCTCACTCCTGCTGCAATCGTCTTGAACAAAATCTTCCCCACCTTTCTAACAAGTATCAAGACACTATTTTTCAAAGCATTGGGAGGGGAAGATGGGCGGTTTCGGAGCTGTCGTTACGAACGTTCCTGTTGGGCCTCCTTCAGGAAAGCCGGGGGGCCTCTGGGGGCGGGCTGTGGTTTCTTCAGCTGACCCCCAAGGGGTCCAGTTTATCCTGTTGCTGAGTTTTATGTTACCTCATCTGACCCTCCTCACACCTCTTAGAGCAACCCCAGGGCCACAAGCACTGGTTACAGTGTTTCCCCGACAGTCTCTCCAAGGTGAGGAGACCAAATAATTTATCCTTTGAACAAGGACACTCTGGGCATCCTAAGACTGAAACCAGCAAATCAAGCATCCTTATGAGTGATTACATTTAGCTTTAAATCCTAGCTCTAGAAATCCTAGCGGGCTCTGTCTGATTGTTTCTGGATAATCAGCAACCCACAAAGCAGCAGAAGACGGTAGCTGGACCCAATGGTCACAGGTCTGGAACTCTGGCAGCCTGAAGATACCACCTTTATGTTTCAGCTCTGGAGCCCTAAGATGGAAAGACACCCCATCCCCAACCACCAGCAGCTTATTTCCCATGAAACCAGGCAGAGGGACGCGAAGACAGACTCAAAACTGTCCTCGAGACCTAAAGAAACGATTCGTTACCCTTACTTTCCCCTGAACGCTTAGCTCTTAGCACCACCTTGAACCCCCCAACCCGTGGTGTCTTGTGACTTTGCTCTATATAATCTGTAACCTACACACCATCAAGGAGCTGGGCTTTTGAGTATTAGTTTTCTGTTCTCCTGGGCGGTGCCATTCATAATAAAATAGCCAACCTTCCTTTCGTGCAGTTCTCAGTGTTTACTGTTCGGCTTTGCTCGCGATGGGTGGAGGAACTCTTTTTGTTCCATAACATTACTAACAACGCCAGGACAACCGGTGCAAATAAAGACGCTGGGTTACCGACGGGCTCCCTTTCCTTGCGCACCTCCTGGCCACCCTGTTGGCTCTGGATGCTGGGTCCCACCCAGCACAAGGACGCCTAGACGTGCGAGGGGTGCAGAGCGGGAGTTTCAGAAAGGCCAGTCCGTGAACGTCCTCCTCTGGCCCAGTGCAATGGACACTAGAGGGCGGCCTAGTGCCAGAGCCAGGCAGTGCGCGCGGGGCGGGGACGCGGCGACGCAGGCGCCTGCGGATCCCGTGACAGCGCGCCCCGCCCTAAGCCGCCGCGGTTATGCAGTCCCCACCGGTGCTCGTCACCTCCAGGTGAGCCAGACCCCAGCGCCACAGGCGGCGTTTTGCACACCGTGGAGTCTCGATGCGCGTGATCCGCGGCCCCCTTACGCCCAGGCGGAGCAGCAGGCGCAGGCGGTGGCCCCAGGGGGAAACTGCCGCCCGCAGGCCCCGGGCGCCCTCTGTCCGTTCCTATGGGCTCTGACCCTTCACCGCACTGCAGGAGAGGCGGGCGGCATCCAGTGTCCCTGTTCTTCAGATGGAAAAACTGAAGGCTCTACAGGGTAATGAGCTCACTCAAGACCCAGTGGAGGAGGGCTCTCCTGTCCTCTTTCCCTGCCGACCTGTGTTCATTTCTTTTTGGCACAAAAATTTGTCCTGCGTCCCATCAGTGCTCACCGTGTGTCAGGCCCTGTGCTCAGCACTGGGGAAGGGGATGAATCAGACAAGGCGCAGCCCTGCGGGGTGGGGAGCGAAAAGGAGAAATGAGTGCGGGCTGACAAGTGCTAGGAGGGGTAGTAAGTACAGGTTGTCATGGGAATGCTGTGCAGGACCGAACCCAGGCTTCTGAGAGGGTGTCAGTCAGGCCAAGTCCTGCAGGAGGAGTGAGCGCACATTCCCAGGAAAGGGGCAGGAGAGGGGGCCGCTGTGCAAGGAGGTGTCTCTGGAGAAGTGCGAGTCATAGCAAAGGGGACCCTGGAAGCAGAGGAGGAAGTGGGTGCCCACCCTGCTCCAGACCTGGAGGACCCAGTGCAAGATGGACCTGGAAATCCACCCGCTATTACTCGGCTTTCCCTCTTCTCGACATCCGTAGCGTGACTCACTTCAGGTATTTCTGTACACTCCACACCGTTGCCCCTAAACAAGATCTTGGGCAAATGTGTTACCCGCACAGCTGTTATTTTTCCAGCTGTCACAGAACTTCCCTGCGACGCCAGGTCTAGAAAAACAGGATTCTTTAAATAAAAGTAAACTCTGGTGTGAGAACCTGCTTGGTCTCCTCTGCATAATGCAGTGCGGTTGCAGGTCAGGGCCTCATGGGCAGAAGAGGTTTCCCTGGTGCCACCTACGTCATCTCCTCTCGCTGAGCCTCAGTTTCCTTTTCTGCAGGAACGGGGTTAGAGATGGGCAGGTATGGGCAGGGCCGCAGCTGGCACCCTTTTCAGCCACTCACAGACCGATGTGACTCTGATGCTGGCTGCCTGGGACAGCCTGTGAGGCCACCCGCACAGGGCTTGTTCCCAGACACGGGTGCTGGTGATGAAGGCCAAGTTCATGGTGAGAAAAGGGGCCTTGCTGTCAGGCACGAGCAAACCCTGGCGGGGGTGGGGGCTGCCTGCAGGGTAAGGCCAAAGGCAAGGCCGGGCCTCCCACCACCATCCCACACACACTCACCCCTCCACTGGCTCAGCAGGTCTTCCCTGAGAACCTCCTCTGTGCGTGGTCCCCACAGGAGGTGCCAGGCAGTGGGGAGCTGATGGGCAGGGACAGTCTGGGAGTGAACCCCGCCTCTGCCTCTGACCTGCCGAGACCGTGAGCCTGTGCCTCCCTTTTTGTGCCCATTTCTCTGTCTGTAAATGGGCCCCCGTAGCAGTGCCTCTGTGCAGGGCTGCGGGAGGCTGAGTGGCTGGCGCAGGTGAGGTCCCCTCACAGGTGAGCAGAGGCTGCAGCAGTGCCAGCCATGGTCACACCTCTCACCCTCGGCCCTGCCTTGCTGCCCGCGCTCTTACCAGTACCACCCACGAGCACCCCTAGGAGCAGCCTGGTCTGTGCTGGGTGTGAGGGTGGGAGCGCTGTGTGGCTACCGGGGAAAGGAAACTGATCTGTTCAGCGTGTTTTTCCCTCTCGCACTCGGACGTGGGGGCTTACTCCCCACCCGACTGAAGGCAGAATGAGCCAGGTCCTTTCTCAGGGACTGGTATTTCTTTCAGTTGCTTTACACCCACCCATGAGGTATTCACGCGTATGGAGGTCTGTGTGAATGTGTATACACACTTCATATGTGGCAGTGGTCCTCCCCAGTTGGTGACCCGGCATCACGTCAGTGACTGTCACATGCCTGATGTGGACATGGGACGGGTCTGTGTGGAAACAGTGCTGGGGGCAGGGTGTCACCCACTGGCTTGGGACACAATTCCAGAGGCAGAAGGGGCCTTGCCCCGGGCACAGTTTTAGCCCCGAATCCCCCCTCTTCGCCAGAGCCTCCCCTTTCCTGTGTTCTGGAAGTCTGACCCAGCGCACACTCCACCTTGATGATAATGTTCCCCGCACGCCGCGCCATAGGTGTTTGTGTGACGGAACGTATGGTTTTGTGCCTGGGTCTGCATTGCCCTCACACAGGACGAGGACACCTTTAGCTTTTTTCTGACCTCAGAGAAAACGGCCCCTCGCTTTTCTGTCCGGCATCCCAGTCAGCCTGCTTGCGTAGCATTTACAGATTCTCCGAGAGCTGCAGTGTTTTGCTGACAGTGGCCTTCTCGGTGCCTCTTGGGGGCCCAGGCCTGAGGAGGGCCCCAGCCCCCAGTGCTCTCTCTGTCTCCCCACGCTGAGCAGGCTGTGAAGCCCCTTTGCTGCCCTCTGGGCAGCTGAAGACATGAGGCTTCCCCCAGACCCCTGGCGCAGTTTCCCTCCAGCATCATGCACACAGACCAGGCACTCCCCTCGGTGTGAATGAGCCCCCAGGAAGCCACACCCCCAACCTGCAGGAGGCTGAGCCCTGAGCGGGTGTAAGACGTGTGGCCGTCCATGACTTTCGACAAGTCCCACTTTCTCTGCTGTCCCCTGTCTCCCGCTGGGAACAGCCCTTTGTCCCTGAATGACACAAAGACAGGGCTCAGGCCAGAGAAGCCAGGCTTTATGAGGGCCTGGCATGTGGCAGAGCGGGAGGCCTGGAGCTGTGACCCCGGAGAACAGCCAGCGGAGCAGCCTCCAGCCCAGGCCTGCTGAGCCACCCCGAGGTCCTGCCTGCGTTGCACTCGAGAAGCCTGCTGACTTGAACCTGACCTTCCTTTGCCTTCTTTCCCTTTGGCAGGCGAGTTCAGAATGTCCACACGGGCCTCGACCTGACCGTGCCCCAGCACCAGGAGGTGCGGGGCAAGATGATGTCAGGGCACGTGGAGTACCAGGTCCTGGCGGTCACCCGGCTGGCTGCCTTCAAGTCGGCCAAGCACAGGCCCGAGGATGTCGTCCAGTTCTTGGTGAGCTGGGGGCTCTGCCAGGATGCTCCCGAGGGTGCCCAGGGTCCGGGGGTCCAGGTGGGCAAACACACCTACCACCAGGTAACAAGCAGCATCAGGGAGCAGGCGCTTCTGTCGCCAGCACTGGGACCAAGTGAATCAGATCCTTACAGGCTGTGGGGGGTGGGGGTGTGGAAAGGGGGCACCTGACCCACCCTAGGGAAGGGGTTCTGGAAGACGTCTCAGAACAGGTGAGCACTGGGCTGTGTTCAGAGTAGGCGGGGCTCAGCGGCAGCGGGAGGGGCGTGGGGTCCCAGGGGGAGGCGCAGCCTTAAGCAAAGGCTAGAAATGGTGTGTGGGAGCTGTGAGCGACTGAGTATCATCCTGGATGGAGTAGGAGAAGGTGACCGGCAGGATCCTGGTCATGCGAGGTGGGTGGGGGCTTGGCTGCTCTTGTAGCCACAGAGGAGCGTTAAGCATGGGAGTGATTGCCTTTCACTGGCTGGTCCGGTGGGAGAGTGGAGTTGGTTTGGAAGGAATGGGCAGCAGGCAGGGAGCAGGGAGCCCAGTTATGAGGCTAATGCAGCGAGGCCCCCAGTGGGGCTGGGAGCCGGCTGTGCCCCTGCAAGGGAGGGAGGGACGGAGTTGAAAATAGTGCCAGTTTCTGACTGACTGCTCCGGTTGACTGAGATAAGAGCGCTGGTGGAAAGGCAGGTCTCAGGAAGTGTCGAGTGTGAAGTGTCCACCCAGGGGACACTCGAGGACGGGGAGCAGGACAAGCTCGGGCCTGAGACGCAGGTTTGGGGGGTATCCGCTTGGAGGTGATGTCCAAGGTCTGGGAGTGGACGAAGGGGCCCGGAAAGTGGGTGCAGAGTGTGGAGCAAGGGGCTGAGGAGGGAACCGTGGGGACCCCACAGCTCAGCCACAGTCAGAGAGGAGGAGCCACCCCCCAGAGTCCGAAGGAAGAACAGGACATCATGGAGACACAGGAGCCGAGGGAGAATGGCGTTTTGAGAGGGGGAGGGAGGTCACAGACTCATTTGTTCTAGCCTTTGGCTTCTGGTAAAAGGGCCTGGAGCTGTGACCAGTAGTGACAGGCCACAGGATTGCTCGGTAAAGGCAAAGTGAGCAAGAACCCCGCAGCCCAGCAGGAGCCGCCGGCTGCAGGTTTGCTCACAAGAGTCCTGACCTCCTGGCAGCCAAGATGGAAAGGGAGGCAGTGAACGGCTCGCTCTGAGGACCAATTACAAGAGACACCAAATTCTAAGAGAGAGGAACTTACAGCACAACTCTCTCACCAGAGGACATCTAACAGGTCATGGGAGCGTCCGAAAGAGCCTGGTGTCTGTCGTTCACTCCTGCACGGACCCTTGCTGAGAACCACAGCGTAAGGGCAGCAGTAGTTCTGGGCCCGCTGTGCTCTGTGGTGAGGGGAGCTCCGTGCAGCCATCTCCAGGGACAGGAACAGGGACAGGGAGGGGGGACCTCTCAGGTCAGTGCCCCCGGGGGCCTCGAGAGAGCAGTGTTCTGGGATCCCTGAGGGGCGCCCCACCCGCCTGCCGGCTGCTGTGCAAGGGTGTGCGTGAGGACATCCTTGACACCTCCACATGTCACACCTGTGTTGCACCTGTGCCACCGTTTCCGGACCAGTGACGCCTGCACCCTGCAGGGTGTGCATGTGTGTGCACCGGTGAGGGCCACAGAGAACAACTTTGCTTCCCAGGAGGTCTGGGAATCTCTTTGCAGTTTCATGATTTACCTAAAAAAAAAGAACGAGTATATTTTATTTTACTTCTCAAAAGGATGTACGTGTTTTCATATAAAACCCGACTTTAGTTGCTCACCATCGGGGTGTCCAGCCTGCAGCCCAGGACGGCTGTGCATGCTCCCCAACACAAAGTCGTACATGTACTTAAAACATTACGGGATTTTTTTGTGGTTACGTGTCCCAGTGCATTTAATATGTGGCCCAAGACAGCTCTTCTTCCTCCAGTGTGACCCAGAGATGCTCAAAGGTGGGGCGCCCTGCTTGCACCAGCCTCTGGAAAGGGGCACTGTATGGTCCGTGGTTTAGCGAACACCCCTTCTCTGTGGCTGCGCAGACCCCCACACTGAGGTCAGAGGGGTGCAGGGCAGTGACGCTGGCTGCCTGCCCCCCACCCCACCGGGCCATCTGTAACCGAAGTCCTGCCTCAGCTCCCAGCACCGCCCCCTCGGCCTCCTGTAGCCCCTGCACCCCAGGACTCCGTGGGAAGCTCAGCGCCGCCCCAGGGTGACACCCAGGGCCCAGGACCACCTTCTCATGGCCGGCAGGAGCCCCACCTGCTTCCTCGAGGCCCAGTGCGCAGACCGGTCCCGGCAGGCGGCAGAGGAACTAACTTGGCAACCAAAGACGGTTGCCGGTTCTCAGGGGAACAATCCAGAAGTCCACACTGAGAAAGGTGACTCACGTTGTCTCGGGAAGGTGACCTGCCTGCCAGGCCGCGAGGCTATGTCACCAGTGCACTGAAGGCCTAGAGTGGAACGGTGGCCATGGTCACCTGCCATGGTCGAATGTCACTACCCAGACCCATGACAGGCAGGGCCCGGGCCCACCAGGGTCACACCTTTCCTTTGGGCCACAGAGACCTTCATAATTGAGCCTGCCTTTGAGGAGGAGGTTAATGAGCAGAGCCTGAGGCAGGGAGCTGGGCAGAGGGTCAAGGGGGAGTCATTTGCCCTGTGGCATCTGGTCCTGTCACTCTCTGAAGAGCCGAGCCCTCTGGGGGCCTCTGACGGGGGTCAGAGGAGGGGCACCCTCTCTGCACTCAGGAAACTGCCTGCTTCTCTCATCCAGGTCTCCAAAAAGTACAGCGAGATCGAGGAGTTTTACCAGAAGCTGAGCGGTCGTCACCCCGCAGCCAGCCTTCCCCCGCTCCCCAGGAAGGTCCTGTTTGTGGGGGAGTCCGACATCCGGGAAAGGAGAGCCATGTTTGACGAGATTCTGCGCTACATCGCCAAGGATGCCGAACTCGCGGGCAGCCCAGAGCTGCTGGAATTCTTAGGTACCCAAGGCTCTGTCCCTAAGCCCTGGGGTCTCCCGGGCCCAGAGCGAAGCCTCAACAGGCCCTGGGCCGCAGAGACTTGAGGCCGCTGCCTGCACTGTGCTCTGAGGCTCTCGCTTGAAAGCGCTCTGCTCCAGGCCTCCCCAGTGCTGCCAGCCCTCCGGGGCTGCAACAGGCACTGGGAGCCCCGGCTGCCCCCACCCACCCAGACCCGCGTACTGGTCCAAGGATTCCGTAGGAAGCCCTCGGGTGCTGGCGCAGGAGCCTGGGTGTGGGAGGCACCTCCTCGTCCCCTGGCAGCGGGCGTCAGCGGCTCTCCTCCTGCTCCTTCACAGGCACCAGACCTCTGGGGGCTTCGGACCTTACCAGCCGAGATGTCTCTGTCCTGGACACAGACAGCCAAGCAGGGGACACCGGAGAGGCTTTTGACTTCTTCCAGCAGCAGGAGCAAGCGGAGGGGCCGCCCACCCCGGGCCAGAAGGACGAGGATGCAGAGAAGTCCTCCGAAGAGGAGGAGGCCCTGGACCCTCTGGGCATCATGCGGTAGGTCTTCCTGCCCCCTCCTGACTGGTTCCAGACTCTGGGGACAGCTCCTCCCTTCCCCTCCCCACTCCCTGGGCCCTCGCCCTGTGTGGCCTGGTACACTGGGGGAACTGGCTGTCTGCTCAACCCTCACCTGTGTCTTTGGCGCTGAGCTCAGCTATCACCTGCCCCTCCCTGCTCACAGGGTGGCCCCCCACTGCCACTCCCTGGCTCTGCACTGAGGCTTGGCAGAGCTGCTGGCCCAAAACAGCTCAGAAGCCCAGGCTGCCTGAACCGCCCAGCTGGCCTGTGACTCATGTGACCGGAGCTCCCTGTGGGGTGGCTCGCTGTCTGTAAAGCAGCCCCACCGCCCCACAGGCTGGTCGTAAGGGTCCCTGAGTCAGGCAGGCGGAGGGAAATGGTGACCCAGAAGGTGCCAACGGTGTAGCAGTGCGACCCAAGGGGGTGCAGTGAGCCCAGGGTCCCCAGCCAGGAGAGTGTGTCTCCTTTACACGTATGCACACACAAGCCAGCACTCTCAGGCGCACACGCGCGCACACCCCCACTAGCTGGAGAAGAGACAAGTCAGCTGCAATCTTGGTGGTCCCTCTTGGATGGTGCCCTGCTTCTGTCCTTCCCTGGCCCTCTGACTGCCCTGAGTAGGGGGCTGCTCTTGAGCCCACCCCTCCTGGACCACCCTGCGCCGGGGGTGGGGTCTCCAGGCTAGACGGGACTAGAGAGCCAGACATCTGCCCCCAAGCCCCCTTCCCTGGTGGGCACAGGCTGAGGTGTTTGGGCAGGACCTCCCAAACAGAAGCAGGTGACAGGGACAGACGGACTCAGCCACCTGGAGCCCTCACCGCCTCCTCTTGGCCCAGATGTACAAGAAATAAGGTGGGCCCGATTCCAGCTGGGCAAGTACAGTACTTTGCCCTTGACGTACGTGTCTCATTGGTGCCCTGCAAGCAGCTGTTACCCCATTTTACAGCTGGAAGAAACTGAGGCCATATACCTGGCCTGAGAGCAGACAGCTGGTGAACAATGGGCCTGAGGTTCCAACAAGGGGAAGCTCCTGGACCGTGGAGCCAGTCTGCCTGGGTTTGAGTCCCTGGTCTGCCGTTTCCTGGACACGTTTCCCTGGCAGTTTACCCCTTTCCTGTAGTTTCCTGTAGCAAAAATAGGGTAACAGTAGCCTCTCTCCCTTGGTGCTCCTGCGACGTTTGAATTTACATAAATGTTGGTGCTTAGCTCTCTCCGTGGCCCTGGCCCTCTGCCCCACCACCTCCGCAGAGTCAGGCTGCAGGCCCAGGGTGACGTTCTCTCGGCTCTCACAGGACTCACTGAAGTTCAGTCGACAGCTGAGGGAGGCCTGTCTGCAGGGACTGTTCCAAAGAGGAGCCAGTGAGAAGTCAGGCGGGGTCCCACGCGACTGGAACAGCCAGAGGGGCATGCGCGGCCATCAGGGCTGTGGGCTGGTTTGGGGCCAGGCTGGGGGGGGGGGGGTCATCCTCAGGGAAGGTGCCTGGGTGCTCGGGGAGAAGGCACTGGAGCCCGCCGCCCTGCAGCCCCTCGGTGCCCAGGTGTTGCACCCCCTGGGCCTCCACAGCCGGCCTGGTCCTGGAGCTGACCATGCAGCCCTGTGAGAGCAGCTGCCAAGGTGGCCAGGCTTTGTCAGGAGAAATTTGTCACGATCCCTCCTTATCAGCCTGGCATAATCCGCAGGCCCCTCATGGGCTTTATTTTGGTCAGACCAGGGCTTTGTGTAAACTCGCGCTCTTCTGTTGTGCTGGGCTGCTACACGTAGTGCCAAGCCAGGACAGACTTGGGCAGTTTGTGCCAGCCTTTGGCCGGGGACGTGATTAGCAAAGTGGCTCCTTTTTTGGGTAGGAAAATGCTCCTTGGGGTTGGCACAGGCCACCTTGGGCTTCCTCCTTGCTCCAGCAGCAGATTGTCGGCCATCCCAGGGCCACCTGTCCCCAGCGCTGTCCCTGGCTTTGCACTCTGGGACATGGCTCCTGAATCCTAGGAAAGCTTAGCACCAGAAGGGATCCCAGAGGTTTAAGACCTTCTGCCAGTTTTTCATTTAATAACCCATGTGACAACAGTCAGTGCTGTCATATCATCGGGATAATAACCAACTTTTCTGAGAGGATACGGAACAGGCCACGATGCATCGGTGGCTTTTGGGTCCACTGTGGGTCTGGCCTGGGAAAGGGAAGCCAACAGCGGCCCGGCCTCAGCGTGCGTCTGAGGAAGCTGATGTTTGGAGCCAGGGAGCTCATCCACATTCACGCAGCCACCAAGAGCAGAGTCAGGCGTGCCACAGGGGAGGTGAGTCCCTCTGTTTCCAAGCCTCATTCTCCCTCCCTCACAGGTCGAGTCAGTGTGGGCGCAGGCCGCACCTCCCTGCGCTGTTCCCCAATTCCAGCCTTCCAGCAGCCCGAGAGCTGGGCAGGACCCCAGGATTGCCCCCTTGCACAGATGAGGAAATCGAGGACAGAGTTGAGTGGGGACTTGCACAGAGCCTGTGTGTGGCAGCATAGCGCCTTGAAGTCAGACTTCCCCTGCCATCTCCCCGGACGCCCAGGTGGGCTTGTTGACTTTCTTGCTCTTGCACGGCACCACCCACCCTGTCCTCAGGTGGGGAATGTGATGCTCTTTGCAGATGACGCGTGGTGTGGATGGAGTATTTCTCCATCCTGTGCCCTCAGTTCCTCGGCAGATGGCAGCCCGCCCTTCCCAGCTGCACCCGCGCCCCACCTCCAAGCACCCGGCTAGACCGGACTGCGGCCTCGGCCCTCCCTGTTGCGGCCGCGCGGGGGCGCTGTTGCTCCACTGCAGGGCTGCTGGAAGGTCGGAGCCGCCCGCACAAAGCCCGCAGCAGGGACCCGCGGGGCTTTTCTTTGTCTTTTAAACCTGGTTTTGATTAGTGAAAACACGAGTTACAACACTGGTAGAAGGCGCTTAAAAATAGAAAAAGCCCTCACCCGGCCCATCCAGGCCCATCCCGACACTCTGCTCACTGTCTGTGCGGGTTTTGCGCGCGCCTGTCCCAGTGCCATCTACGTAGCTGCAGACGTTCACCGAGTGCCTTTTTATACTTCGTTTCCACTGTGTCCTCTCACGGTCGCTGGCCATGTCGTACATAGTTCTCATACTCAAGTTTCTATTTTTGAGACTTCGCTGTTCTGAGATGAAGTTCTGCCATAATAGTCCTGCCTTCTGCTGGAAATACTCTGCTAGAAACATTTGAATAATATATGATGTGTATGTAAGAATTGAAAACACAGTTAACAGTTCTTTTGCCACGAAGGTATATGTATACTTTTGGCTATTCTTGTTTTATTGCCAAAATGGGATTGTATCCCACAGGCCATTGCGTAATTTGCTGGGGTTGTTTTTTTTTAAGCTTATACATTTGGTTTCTCCAGATCAATAATTAGACTTCTCTGTTCTTACTCTGTGCTGGTCGGTAGGTCAGTGTGTTGCATGTGGCACCACCAGGCTCCCGCTTGGGGACACTGTGTTTTCTGTAGGATTTTGCTCTCACAGGCAATGAGCAACTTTTTCCACGTCGGGTGGTTTCTCTGTGAGCTCACGCCCCGGGATGTCGGCTCCAGATCAGGGTCCCGGATGCCTCTGCCGGCAGCCTTGGCTGTGCAGCTCCGAGTGTGAGGGGTTCTTTACGGACCCCACACCCTCTCTGTCGGGAAGGCCTCTCTGCTTTTTCAAACCGGGTCTGCAATGCCCCCACCTCTTTCCCAAGTGCTGAGGGGGCCCTCCAGGCCCCGGGTCCCTGCGGGCTGTCCCCTGCCCTAGGGACAGGCTGGTTCCTGCACACACGCGCCTTCCTATAAGTCTGCGCTTCCCACACTCGGCTCAGAGGACGGGAGCCCGCGCCCCGGGCCGTGCCAGGGCCTGAGTACTGAAGCTGACATTTCTTCGGAAGGCAGAGCTGGGCAGTGCTCCCTGCAGACACCTGGGTAGACAGCGCGGGGGAAGACATGGAGGGGGACACGGGGACACCAGCTCCATAGCCCCTGTGTGCAGCCTGCGTCCATGCACACACGACCTGTGAGTGAGGGGAAGACACTGGGCTTGGAAACCGTGACTCACCTCCCCCAGGAAATGCCTGCCCTGAGCCTGAGGTCAGAAAGCTGGCAGCACCCTGCACACACCTCTTCCACCGGGGTCACTTCAGCAGTCCCAACTCACGAGCACTTTGCCTTCTGATGTTCTCTCTGACCTTGGCTCCCCTCTCACAGCGGCTCTGAGCATTTTTCCAGGGGCCATGAGCAAAGGTGCCTCAGGCATCAGGAAGTCACACCGACTTCCCTGACAGAATGGAGGTCTTTCGCTTTCCCTGCCTGAGTCACCCGTCCACCCTTAGCCCACCTAGGTTGCTGCCCACGTCTCCGTCGCCTCTTCTAGGAAGCCCTTCTCTGTGTTCCAGCTGTGCTGGGATTGCTGCCCTGCGTGCTAGTGACCGGTTTGGGGCATCCGTGACTGCTGGGCTCTGAGGATCTGGGGACAGTGGCAGGTCTCACTCAGCTCTGTGCCCTCCTCCCCTAGCACGGGTTCTCGTGTGTGGCGGGTGCTGCCAGAGCGCCGGGCTGCAGTGAGGGGTGAACTGTCCACAGAACAGCGAAGGGGCTGGTGGAGAGACCCACCGAGGCAGCTGAGCAGCTTTGGAGGAGGCAGGAAGGAGTGGAGGGCTTTCTAGACACAGGCCGATGTCTCAGAGTGGAGCTGGGAGCCCCGCTGTCTCTGCGCCCTTCCCCTCCGAGCTGGGGCAGTGGGAAGAAATAAGTCTGGATAAGAGATGTCCATCTGCATTTATCTGTCCTTCATTTCCCCCTTCCTTCCATCATCCATCCATCCATTTTTTTCACTTAGTGTTGACTGAACATCTGCTCTGGACCACAGATAAGTTTGGGGACCAGCCAGGATAGGGCCTGGGGGGCATTCGGCCATCAAAAGTCCGTAATTGCTGCTTGGTCAGGGGGACAGAGGGTGGCCCAGGTGGCACGGGTGGAACATGGAGGGTGCCCTAGATTCGCTTTATTTCGATTCAAGACAACAAACAACCGAAAACCTCTCTGGGGGGGAAACAAGAACACTCACCCAGCTGCAGAGGACAACTGCCCCGGCAGGACAGCCAGGCCTCGCCTGTGTGCACAGACCCAGAAGGAGGCATGGGGAGGGGATGGCCGGGCTCCGCTGGGCTGCGCCAGAGATAATTAATCACGCCGGCCACTCGCCCTTCCTTTGTTCTCCAGAGGGTTCCCTTCGCCCCACACTTCCTCTGGTTTCTGGTCCAGGGGGACACTCTCACCCCCCCAGCCGCAGGTCCCTACGCTGGGTGGGATGTGTTTTCCCCAGGAACTGTCCTGGGGCCCGCTGCTTTTGGGGGTGGTGGACCCCAGCCAGGCTCTGCGCCCCTCACTGCCGCAGTCCCTGTGGTCCCCGGAGCAGGGCCACGTGAAGGGTAACGAGGGACAGCAGTGAGGCAGAGCCCACAGGCCTCAGGCTGGTCCCAAACCTGGCTGGTCGTGGGCTCCACAGAGATGCACGCAGCTTCCCGGGCTCGCCCCAGGGTTGGGGATCTTGGCGGGGCCGCCTCCAGCTGCCTTCCCTGAGAGCCACAGCCCGTCTTTGGTGCCCACCTCCCTGGGTCGCTAGAACGGAGCTAGCTCTGCCAGGCCAGCGAAGCAGAAGGGGGAAGCGTCCCAGTGAGAGCGGGCCACCCTGACCCCTCGAGGTGTATGAGCGGGGAAGGGGGCAGTGACTGGAGTTCTGGAAAACACTTGCCGTCGGGATGGATTCCAGGCTGCTTTCAGCTTTCCCAGTAGCGGGGCCGGTGCCAGAGCAGAGACGTGTCCCTGGTGACCTGTGACGTGAGCCCGCCCGGCTTGTGCCCGGAAAGGAGAAAGAACTGGGAACAGGGTGCCTGGGGCTTCCTGGCACACACACCCCGCCCCCCTCCATATCTGCTCTCCACCTCTGCCTTCAAAGTGGGCCCCCTCCCCCCAGGCACAGCAGGACGGAGCCGATTTCCCACCGCTCCCTTGGACAAGTGTCTTGTTCCTGCTCCAGAGGCACTTGGAGGGGCGGGAGCAGAGTTTGTGACCGAGACTGACCTCAGCTCTAGTCAGCGTCCCTCTGCCTCCTGTGTGACCTCGAGCAGACCCCTTGCTCTGCACACTGTTAGTTCATCTGCCCAGTGAGCCTGGCAAGATCCTCCGGCCAGGACTCTGGCTCTGGTTGCGGGGGTGGCCCCATCCTCAGCCTTACAACAGGTGCATTCCCGGCTTCTGTTGCTCCTCCCATCCCAGCCGGGGGCCTGAAATCCTACCAGGCTGTGGGATGGTCTCCTGGGATCACCTTGCCCTCCAGCAACCCATCCTGCTGCTATTTTTATCTGCTGCTGGTTAATTTGTTCCATTGTTTGGGGGCAGAACCTGCTCCTCCGCACAGTTTAGCTGCATAGTTTTGCAAACATGAGCCCAGACGGTGACTTTCGTCCAGTGGAATTGCCTGCCAGGCAGGCAGTCCAACCAGACATTCTGTTTCCAGTAAAAACCTTATTCCCATTTGCAGGAACTTTAAAATGGCTCATCTGCGCCTCAGCAGCAGGGATCGGGTCAACTGGTTAAACTAAACCCGAGTTTATATGTTTATGTAACTCACAGGGACGTGAGCACATCTGCATCCTCTGCCCCGTGAACCTGTCATGAGCACTGAGTAACCGCCACCCGGGCCGGGGCCAGAGCACCCCCAAGGCCCAGAAGCTCCCCTCCTGCCCCCTCCTGGACTCCCACAGCTGCGTCTGGCCCAGAGCAGGACCCTGGCCACCTTAGGAGTGACATAGCCTAGTGGGGTCGAAGTAGCTGAGGGGCTTCCTGAAGGAGGTGGGGTTTGCCCAGTGGGACTGAGGTTTTGACTGGGTTACACCACTGAGGTCAGGTGGCCCCTGCAAACTCTAGAAGGAGACCCAGTCCTCTGGCCTGTGACCACGCAGTCAGGCCTGGGACCTGAGTCCCCTTCAGGGCTGGGGTCATCTGGCAGCCAGCCTCCCAGACACCGGCCTCCTCCCATATGTCCCGACAGTGGCGGCTCCCAGGACACAGGGCTGGGCCGCTCCCTGGAGCAGGGTCTTGTCACATCCAATGTCAGGTCCTCTGAAAGCACCTTTGGGACACAAGCTCAGGCTCACCTGGCACCTGTGTGGGTCGGCCCGGGCCACCTGGGCCCGGCGGTAGGACTGTCCTGAGACATCCTAACCCGGAGCTTTGTCTGTGACTCCCCAGCTCCAAGAAGCCCAAGAGACGCCCAGAAGTGGCCGTGAAGCCCAGACCCAGACCGTCCCCCCGGCTCACCATCTTTGACGAAGAGGCGGACCCCGACGAGGGGCTCTTCCGCCCAAGTAGCAGGCCGTCCCCGCGGAGCCCCACGGAGGACTCAGCCCCCAGGGACCGTAAGTGGAGCTCCGGAGTGTGTGCGTCACTCGAGGTGTCCCCTGGGTGACCAGACTGGCCTCCGTGAGTGGCTTTGGACCCGCGCCTGTGAGCAGGATCGAAGCCTGTGTGTTGTCCCGTTTTGACACAGCCTGGGGCCGTGTGTTTGTTCTGACCCCTGGGGAGGGGACGGTAGCTGCTCGTTGCTTTGAGAAGTGTGGGTCGGGACCAGCGTGGCCGACGTGGGCAGGGGAGGGGAGTGGATGCCGACTGCCCCAGGTGCTCATTCTGCTACGCGGGGGTTAGGATTCCGACAAAAGGCTCTGTGTCTCCCATGGAGACCCTGCAGGAGGGTTCTGGGCGGAGATGGAAAAGGGAAAGCCGGGCGTCCTTAGGACTTCGACACATGTCCCCAAGCCTGACCTTCCCTCACACACCCAGGGCCTCTTCCAGGGCCGGGAATTGATGTCACCTATTAATCCGGCCAACGCTGGGTGGCCACCCACCAAGGACCGGGCTCTGTGCTGGGAGGAGTAACACACTGTCTAGCCCCAGGGTTCCCGACGGGAGACAGGACATCTCCCAGCAACTACTAGAGGCCTGGCTCTCAGCAGGATGTCAGCGCCTGTGGGAGACAGCAGGGAAGGCTTCCTGGGGGAGGAGGGATGTTGGGTGGGGGTCTGTTCGAGCTGGATCCCGAAAGGCCAGCGAGGTTCGCCTGGGTGCTTCAAAGGGAGGCTGTTCCAGCTGAAGATGCCACCATCTCCTTCCCTGAGGGCAGCAGAGATGGGGAGGGGTCGGGGTGCGCCGGGCACCCGGAAGGCAGGGGCTGCAGTGAGGACGGCACCCGCTTGTCACCGCGTCCTCGCAGGCAGCAGCCCTTGGCCAGCGGGTTGGTGCTCAGTAAACGCTTGTGGGGACTTGGGGGTGCAGCCGTGGGCGCTGAGCTAAGAGGTCCGGCTGGGCCAGGTCTGGGAGCTGATGAGAATTTTTCCTCCTAAAAGCACTGGGAAGACCACCTGGACTTGAACTGAGGGGTGCGGTCAGCTGACCAGGCCCCCATGGCAAGCGTGGTGGAGTGGAGCTGGGCAGACGGATGTGCCGGCCCTGATGAGCGCCTGTCCCTTACACTCACCTGTCCCCATCCATCGGGTTCTGTGTTCCGCCCCCCCCCCCCTTGCTCTTGCCTGGCCGGGCCAAGCCATCTCCACTCTGCATCCCCAGGGCCACTGAGGACGGGGCAGGACTTCCTCTGACCAGGCTGCTGCTGTCCTCTCTGCAGCCCTGAAGTTGTTCGACGATCCTGACCTCGGCGGGGCCGTCGCCCTGGGTGACCCCTTACTGCTGCCAGCAGCCTGTGACAGCGGAGGGCCCACCACCCGCCTGGACCACAGAGAGACCCCCGGGGATCTATTCAGGTACCACCCGTCCTCAGTGGTGCTTGGCCAGCCCCGAGAGTGGCCTGGACAGAGCCACAGACCAGTCCCAACATGGGAGTGCTTCACTGGCCTTGGTCTCTGGGGGCAGGACCACGTGGGCAGGCGCCGGCCCCCAAACCGAGGCCGTGCTGGGGAGGTGGGGGGGGAAGGTGCGGTCCAGCAGCCCAGCGGTTTCCAGAAAGAGAACTTGGTGCCGACATCTCTTTCTTTCCGTTCACACTCGTATTTTAGTAGTTTACATGAGTAATAATTAAGTTACTTCATTGCAAGGACAAGTATAACTGGCATAAACAGTTTCGGGAACCAATGAGCTGAGCCTGAACCGCTCGCCGGAGGGAGCCACCCGCACCTGTGCGGGGCAGCGGCCGGTCCCCAGCTGCGTCCCGTCCGTAGGTCGTACAGAAGGGAGAGCGAGGCCTCCTCTGTCGTGTGGAGGGTGGTGGGCAGACCGTGTGCAGAGCTGGTAGCCGCTGCGTAACGGAGTGGTCGCCGTGGCCCCGCAGCCTGCTGGGCTCTTCACACACGACCTTCCTTACCGAATCCTCAGGACCGCCCCCTGGGTGGGTGCTGTGACCTCCGCTTTACAGGAAATGGAGTGTGGGGGAGGTCAGTGGCCCAGAGCTCTAGCCCCCAAGTGCATGAGGAGCCAGGGCCGCTGCCTGCGTCCTGTCCTCCCCCAGCGTCCAGGAGCCTCCAAGCCCTTGGAGGACGAGAGGCTGGGAGAGCCGCCTCCCAGCTGGGGCAGCAGCTTTGGGGGCCCCTGCGGCTGCGCTCTGAGAGTGCATAGCCCAGTGCGTCTCTCCATGGTCTCACCCGTACCCCCCAGAATGCAGGCCGTGCCCGGTGATTTACAGGAAGCCAAGCTGCCTCTTTCCAGGAACAATTACGTGGCACGGAGGCCTGTGGCCCCGGGAGACTGTCATTTGCACCCTCATTAGCAGCTGCAGGTTGTCACTGGGTTCTAAGTGCTCTCTGGGCCTGAGTCATGGGATGGCTTGTCTTTACATCTCCCGGTGGCTCCTGGCATCTGCTCACTCTTCGCCTGTGTCCTTGCCCCCGACATTGTGGCAGGCTGGGAGAAGCTGGCCCTGCCGTTACATGTTTAGGGAGAAACTGAGGCACAGGGTAGTGGAGTACAGGTTCAGCTCAGGGGGGCGGCCTGGCCGGACAGGACACATCCCACCCAGGGAGCCTCTCAGCTTGTCCCCGGGGGTAGCTCCAGTGGGACCGTGCTGGCGTCATGGGTTCTAAACCCCAACACTGGCTCTCGCAGACCTGTGTTCTACAGAACGCCCTGTGGGGGCGTGCAGAGGTGTTACAGTCAGAGGGTCTCTGAGGCCAGGCAGTGGGGGCAATAGCGGTGGTCAGCAGGACTCCACATGTATGTGGGGCTTGAGCAGGGAACACCACGTGGCGTTTCACTGTGCTGGTGGGACCTGTTCTAGCTGTGACTCCAGACTCAGATAGAAATCAAGCGCTTGGAAAGGGGGACCCGTGCGGCCATTTGTACCCTGAGTAAGACCGCCCCACCCACTCAGGGCAAATCCAGCTTCTGTTAGTTCCGAGTCAGTGCTCTGCCAAGTGTTGTAAATCCTGAACCAACACGAGCTTTCAGCTGCTGCTCTGTTTCCCCACGGGCGCCTGCGTGAGGATAGATAATTCAGTCCCTTGCAGGGCTTTTCTGGGCGCCCAGACTCCACGGGGGTTGCAGGAGCCGGCACCTGCCCTGGGGTTGCTTGAGGAAGGGCCGCCACGTGGAGGGAGCTGGGCCCTTCTGAGCTGAGGTTGCCGGGAGCAGCCTGTCCTGGGATAGCACCTCCGGGGATGGCCTTGAACCCGAGACTACTGTTAATGGGTGGGTGGGTTGTGGGATGGATTGAATGGGTCTTCGGTTGTGCACCTGGTCTCCAGGAATGGAGTTCCTCCCCGGGGAGCTGGCGCAGGAGCTCCCTTGGGCAAAGAGGGTGGAGGCCAGCTTTGGCCTCCTTTCTTAACTGCCACTTGGAACCTGGGACCGGTTCTGGTGACCGTTACGTAGCTGTGGCCTTCAGTGTTGTCCCCCACCCCTCTTTGGTGGGCCGTTAGGTCCAGGGCCAAGGTGGAGTCTTGGTGGGCCCTGGCTGAGGCCAGCTCCAGCCCTTGGTGGGCTCTGTCCAGCGCCTGTGCAACCCACACAGCTGCATGGTGGGCAGGCAGATCCGACTGAGAGGGCAGTTCGTCGGCGTGTGGTGGTGCCAGCGTCCAAACCGGGACGTCCAGCTTCGGAAGCTGAGCTCTCGCCTAGACCAACTTCCACCCGTGCAGGAGGGACCCTGACGGCGGGCACTCTGCTCGCCACAGCCTGCTCCTTTGCAGGGGGCTCGCTCAGGGTGTCTTCCTCTGGTTCCCTAGAGTTGAAGAGGACTTGGACCAGATTCTGAACCTGGGGGCCGAGACCAAACCCCAGCCACAGCCAAAGCGTAAGCCACCAGTGGCAGCTAAGCCCGCGCTACCCAGAAAGCCAGCTGTGCCCCCCAGAGCGGGCCCGCCCGAGTCCGTAGCTGGGCAGCAGAGGCAGCAGCAGCAGCAGCAGCAGATCCAAGCCATGGACGAGATGGACATCTTGCAGTACATCCGGGACCACGACACGCCTGGCCAGGCCGCCCCCAGCCTCTTCTGACCCTCCCTCCCCTGCCAGCAGGCCTGGGCCAGCGGCCCCTCCCCCAGGGTGAGGTAGGGCCGTGCCTTGCAGGCCAGGCCCTTTCATCCCAGGGGAGGGAGGGTGGAAGCCAGGGTACAGGACCCCCCTACTACCTTGCTCCTTTTGCTCTGGCCTGTGGGGTCATGGAACCCTGTAGGATGCAGAGAGGTCACCGCAGGAATTGAGCCCAGTTGTCTCAGCCACGTGCATTGTGAGGGAAAGCGTGTGGGGGCACCTTGCTAACCAGCAGCCCGGCCCCCAGGGAGGACTGAGACTGGGGAGGGCCCGGGAGACTTCACTCAGGGCAGGAAAACTCTGTGTCTACTTGTACCGGTCTGCTCCACCACCGCAGCCCGGGAGGGAGGGTCTGCCACCTGGGGTGGGACTGAGGGGACCAGAGTCTCTGGGTAGCATGGCTCTGGGGCCTGTAAGCTTTGGGAGAGTCCCCCAGGAGAGGGATGCTGAGTGGGGGCCAGGGGGAGCCTGGCCGGGTGGGGTGTCACCCCTGAGTCACCTGGCTGAGTCACCTCTGGCTACCAGGTGCTAAGCAGGGTTTTTTCCCTTGTGTCCAACGTAGAGACCGCAGGCTGCACCCCTGCACCTCTGGGCCTAACAAGCCCCGTCTGCCTCTTTCCGTTTCCAGGGGAGACCTGGCCAGACAGACCAGGGCCCCCTCGGGCCTCTGGCCACGAAGCCAGTGCCTTGCTGAGCAGAGTGGTCACTGCATCCTGCAGAGCTCCACCTGGCCTGGGGTGTCCCGCTGCTCAGAGCCGACTTGGGCAGGGTGCTCTCCGGCTGCTGCTTCGAGGCCTGGTCTGTGCAGTGGCAGGTGCTGCCAGGCCTCCCCCGCCTTCCGGGTCCGGACTCGCCCACCGGCCTTTCACAGTGGGAGCTGCCTTCCCGGGGAGAAGGAGCCTTGTCCTGGGGGAGGGCCAGTGCCTTAGACTTGTCCCGGGCCCCCCATGCCCGGCCCTCAGGCCTGGGCCTGGGCCTGGTGCAGTGGTCAGGAAATCCTCAGTGAGTGAGTGATGTTTAATGGACCAGAGAATGCCTTTTTATGATATATTCTTCATATTCAGACCTAGTTTTTAATGAAACACAAGTTTTTTTTATGAAATGCAGCCACTCTTGTCCCTGGCTTGCCCGGCAGAGGCATTGGAAGGAATCTTGGACGAGGACCCAGCCCTTTCCTAACTGGGGCCGACAGCCAGCCCTGAGGGCGGCCCTCTGGCCGGGCCGGGTGCTTGCAGCCATCAGAGCCCCTAGTCCGGTCCCTGCCCTCTGCCAGGGCCTGTGGGTAGTGGGGGCGCTCCGTCTGGTCTGTCCTGTGTCTCGCTCACCCTCGTCAGCTGCCCAGTCTGGAAAAGGCCATCCCTGACCCTCCACCTTGGCCACAGTGAGGGGGAACAGGCAGTTCTGGGGCCTGGGGGCTGATCCCTCCCGCTCTTTGCCTTACCCCAGCCCCCAGGGCCCCATCTCTCCAGCCCCGGAGCTGGCTCTGGAACAGCCTCAGCCCTGGCTATTCTCAGGTGCCGCTCCCGTTCACTGCCAGGCCTTCACGCCCCGCCCAGACCTGCCCACCCGCTTGCTGACCGCAGGAAGTGTGGAGTGGTGGGTGATGGGCTGGACTCTTTCCTGCCCTGTTCTCAACACCGCACCCCATGCCAGCTCTCTGCCCTTTCCGTAACGCCCCCTCCCACAACGTGTGATATGGAAGCAGAGGGCGCAGCTGACAGGTGCCTGGTGCCCATGGGGGCTGCCACTCTAGTGTGAGTTTATCCACTGAGGCCTGGCCTCCTCGGTGGCTTGGTACTCTCTGGTCACCTCAGCCAAGGTGTACGCTTCTCAGATTCCAATGCTCAAACTGCGGCTGGTTCTCACCGCAGGTCTGTGACCTGCTGGCAAACCAGTGGCACCCAGTCATGCAATAAAATCTGTGTCCGTGGCTCATTCCAGCATTTGCTAGCGGGGCTCTTTTCTGTGCTGGGGGCGGTGGGGGTTGTCTTTGCAACAGTGCGTTCCAAGTCCGTGCAGGACCCAGGGTCTCCCAACTGCTGCTCGGTAGGGTGGGGTGAAGGCAAGGGGAGGATCCCACATTGTAAACTGAGGCCCAGGGCCCAGGCCCAGTGGGAGTCAGGGGGTTGATAACTGCTCAGCCAGCACCTGCTTGGGAGGAGGACCCTTCCTTCGCCAGTGCTCCCTCGCAGCGGAGACTGGTCTAGCAGGCCCTTTGATGCACTGTCTGTACACACACCTGTCTGTGTGCACACACAACTGTCCTGGCCTCCACACTCCTGCCTGAGCTCAGAGTCTGAGGCACTGCTTTGTGCCCAGGGCCACCAGGTAAGCCAGCACCCTACCCCGGGAGGCAGGGCGGCCGTGCGCAGGGCAGTCTGAGCCGGCCTTGGCCTCCCCGAGCCCTTGGCTCTGCATCTTGTAGCTAAAGCGCCAACTGGGGGGTTGGTGCCTGAGGACAAGCAGCTGGGTCCTTCTGAGGAGGACACGCAGCACACAGGCTGGATCTTGTGAGTCCACAGCTACAGAAAAACAGATTTGAGTCGGGGCAGAGGTCTGTGTTGGAGCCTTGTGGACAGGTGTGCCGTCGTGACTGGTCCCGTTCCCTGCAGCACTGCTTCCCTCCGGAAGCCAGGAGCTCTGGCCAGTCCTCCCAGAAAGTCCCAGGCATCGCGCCTGCCCTGGCCAGCAGCCACCCTTCTGGGCCCCGCTGTCCCGTCACCATCAGTGCAAGGCATCTGGGACCCAGGTCACCTCCAGGTGTGCCAGGGCTGCCCTCTCTCTGGACACTGACAAGACAGAAGTCCAGCCACTCTTGGAGGGCTTGTGGCCCCAGGGCTGCACTGCCCCCTTGGCATTGTGTCAGTCCACCCTGTGTGGCGACTTGTGACCTGGTGTCAGGCTTTGGTTTGTCTCCACCCTGCAGTCTCCAGGGAAACCTGGTATGGAAAGTCACAGTTGGTTCCTTAGCTCACCAACTATCCAGCCCAGCTCGTCCCAGTAGAAGGAAGGGCAACAGAGCTCCTGTCCCCTGCATGGTGGTCCTGGCTAGATGGCAGGCACCACCTGTCGTGGCTGCTGGGTCTTCATGGTCAACACTCCGTGCCTTTGAGTAGCTGGCCACTTAGCGTCCAGTCTTGAATGGTGTCATTCAGGGCAAACTCTGATGGATCCAAACCAGCCCCCACTCGGTACCCTGGGGCCTTACAGTTGGGGTAGCTGACCAGGGGGCCAGTGGGGGGAATCAGCCATGAGGCTCGTGGGCATGGGAGAATCTAGGTTTCAGCCCCGCTCAGCTGTGTGACGTCCCCTCGCCCCTCAGTGCTGAGTGAAGAGACTTCCTTGGGCTGCTGTGAGTGGCCCGGGGAACTGACATCCTGTTTGTGCCCGAAGGAGTTTCCTCGAGCTGGTCACGCTTGTTCATCACAGAGGGATCCCTGCCCAGAACATGCGGGGTGCTCATGGGACGTGGCATACTGGCGGGTGGTGGGTGGTCGGAAGGCGCTGCCAGCCTCATCGAGCGAAGCCGCCTCCCGCCCAGGCACTGGCCATCGATTTCCAGGTGTTGCACCAGGCACAGCACGGCGAGGGGGCACAGGTGTGCAACATGGAGAACCCAGCGTGGCATGCAGACGCTGGTCCCTCCCCTCGTGGCTGGCCTCTGGCTTTTGCTTTCCTCGGCTCTGGCCACCTGTGAGAGCATTTCATTTCGCAGACCACACTCAGGGTAGAACTGAGGCACCCGGAGCGGGTGGCCTCAGCACGTGGCCTCGGCGAGTGGGACCCCCACTGACACCTTCCGGGGGTGCTGAGGCTCCTCTGCCAGCTCTGTGAGCAGCAGCCTCTAATTCGCTTTGTCAGTAAAGCCAAGTCAGCGCCCTCCCACCCAGCTGGCAGCCAGGTCATCTGACACAAGAGCTTGTCCCAAAACATGAAGCATTTAGTGGCACCTACTGTGTGTACGCACTACCTGTCGAACCCAGGAAGCTGGGTGAGATGAGGCTCAGGGAAGCAGGGAAAATGCAGATTGGCCCTTTTGGCCTAAAAGCTCCCCATCATCCTGGGCATCAGTCACAGGTCAGTGAGTAAGTGAACACAAGCTGTTAGGAGCAAGACACGTTCATGAACAATGCGGTGCACGGCAGAGGGATTCAGGACTCGGTAGCAGGCACTGCTCTGGGGCTCCGAGGACATGTAGAGAATCAGGCCAGCACCACCAGGAACAATTCCTGAGCACCCACTGGGTGCAGTACCCGTTCTAAGCACGATGGAGAATGCACAAATGAAAAAGCAAGATCTACCCGGAGCCAGGCTGAGCCCCTGGTTTCAGTTCTGTTCTTGGGGCCTCCTGCCCAAACCTCAGGCACAATTAATGGCGGCACCTCCTCCTCCATGCAGCCCTCTCTGCTTTCCCCTCTGACACCCGCCGGCACGTAGAGTGTGTGGCATGCAACCTGAGCCCAGCTGTAGGCCACTGCAGTCATTTCCAAGGGCAGCAATAATGAGGTACTACAAACGGGGGCGTTACTGCACAGAACTTACTCCCTTCCTGCTCTGGAGCCGGAACTCTGAAAGCAAGGTGTTGGCCTGGCCACCCTCTGTCTCTCAGAGAGTCCTTCCTTGCTGCTTCTAGATTCTGGTGGCTGCTTGGCAATCCTCAGAGTCCCTCGCTTATAGCAGCATCGCACCAATCTGTCTTCATTGTCACGCGGTTTTGTGTGTCCTCTCTGCGTCTGTGACCACATTTCCCTCTACTTGTAAGGACACCAGTCATTGGATTAGGGCCCACCTGAACCCAGTCTGACCTCATTTACATCTGCAAGATCCTATTTCCAAATAAGTCTTATTCACATGTCTCGGATGGACATGAACTCTGGGGCACGTTGTTCAAACCGGTCTAGTCAGTAAGGGTCTGGCACCTTTCTGGGAGGCTGAGTTGCTTGAGAGCAGAAGCAGTGACTTGCACGTGTCCTGTATCTGCTTCAGGGCCTTTGGGTGCCACCTGCTACCAGGTGACCTTGCAGCCTTGTCATCTTACAAGATTCGGTAGATACCGAATCACCTCGCTGCAACCAACAGTAGCAGCCTTTGCACATCGCTCGTGACTGACGGCGCAGACATACCGAGTGTGACTTGTGGTTCCCGGGACCTTCCCCATGTGGCTACAGTGTGGCCGGATCACCCCTGGGCCACAATAATCCCCTTTCCCCTGGGCAGTGGCAGGCCCAGTGGGTCTAATTACCCCCTGTCTTTGGGGCCTGGCTTTCAGGAGTACACTGAGGCAGGCAGCATCCAAGCCGTGGCCTCTGGGCCATCCCTGTGGGCTCTGCGAGCAGTTCAGCAGTCCCCTGTCCTCTCCATGCCCTGTCTATAAAGAGGACAAACGTGGAGAGGATGAGGACATGTTGGGAGAGAGCTGGGAGGAAAGGGCCTTTGCTGGACAACCACCGTGTGCTGGGTTGGAGTTCTCTCATCTACAGCTGCCGCCAGAAATGTAGACCCTCATCTCTTCATTAAATAGTAAAGCTTCAAATCCTACTACATGGAGGGTCAGCGGCGCTCAGAGTCGTGCTGGCTGATGGGGGCTTTCTTCCTTCCTAGAGGGTCTGTAGGGGTCTTCCCTGGTGGAGCCCCAGTGTGGAAATGGCCCAACAGCTTCCCCAGGCTGCCGGGCCGGGGGCCGCCCTCCCACCATCACCCCTCATCCTCTCCCTGGGCCTTGGAACAGCAAACAGTGTGGGAGCCACTGGCCAACGCCCCGGGCACCAGAGGACGTGTCCCTCTGCTTTCCCTCGTAGCTCTGCGTGCAGGGACCTGTCCGTGTGCGCGCGCCTGTGTTCTTGCTTTTGGTTGAATGGCCACCTTGCTGATTCCCCCTCAGAGGTGCTCTCAGTCCCAGAGGGCAATTTTTTTTTAGATTAGAAAGCAGAACAGCTGACCTCTTGTCCACATATTCCTTTTATTTTTTTCCAGGATTTTTTTAAATTGTTGTTCAACTACAGTTGTCTTTATCCCCCCCACCCCAGCCATCCCCACTTCCCACCCTTGATCCTAATCCCTTTGGCTTTGTCTCTGTGACCTTTATAGAAGCTCCTGAAAACCCTTCCCCGTTTACCCCCCATTATCCCCTTTCCCCTCCCTTCTGGTTACTGTCAGTTTGTTCTTAATTTCAATGTCTCTGGTTATATTTTGCTCGTTTGTCCACGTGTTTCTCAAACAGACCATCGGGAGCTGCAGAGAGGCTGAGCTCAACCCAGGGCCGCCTGGGGGGCCTCCTTGTACCGCCCAGACGGTCTCGGCCTCCAAGCAGGCTCTGCATGGTTGTGTGGGTGGCACTGGTTCGGGGGCCCTGTCCTCAGAGAGTGTAACATCCACGGCCACGGGAGGGGAACACACTGCCGTGCCTTGGCGGGGAAATGCGGCAGGCTTTTTAAAAGTTGAACATTAATTTACCACACCACCCAGCAATTCCACTCCTCGAAACCTGCCCAGAGAGGAGGGGAAACGTGCACACCAGGACTTGTACAGAAATGCTCACAGCAGCCTCTTTCATCAGAGCCACAGAGTGGAGACGCCCAAATGTCCTCTGGCCGGTGAAGGCACAGACCAAATGCAGGGCGGCCCCACAGTGGGGCCGTGTTTGGCGGTCAGAAAGGATGAGTCACATGCCACCACCTGGGTCGACTTCAGAGACACTGGGCTGCATGAAGAAGTCTGACTCAAAGGGCCGCTTATCGTGTGATTCTGTCTGTGTGGCGTTCTCAGGAGAGGCGGACCTGCAGTCGGAAAGTAGATGGGTGGCTGCCTCGGGCTGGAGACCCAGACAGAGATCACAAGTAGATGCTTTTCGGGGGATGGTGGAAATGTCTGAAATTGGCCCGTGGTAATGTTCGCACGGTTCTGTAAATTTACTGAGGTCATTGAATTGTACACTTAAAAT